AGGCAGCCTTTCAGCAGTGAAAGAGGGACCCCTAGGCGGAAAGCCCAGACATAATTGGATTAGCTACGACTCATCTCGACTGCAGGAAGATAGTTCCATGTACCTTCGCCGTGCTGCGCGGTTGCGAACAAATCAGGTCGGCGCAGCTTGCTGCTTTTTTCTTCGCATGGCAATGGGCTTCAGCGGCGCAGAGACACCGCGCCGACGGCGCGAACAGCGCCGAGCACCTGGCCAACGCCCAACTTCCCGACGCACTTACCTTGCTTCGCGAGGTCACCGGTCTCAATGCAGGCATCGACCACTTGGTGGGAGCTACTATTAGTGCGCTGCTTCGGCGGGGTAAGCCACGGCAGCGACCCAACAGGGGGGCGCGACCAAGAGCTGGGAAGCCACGCCTACTTGCACACTGGCGCAGCGGAGTTCTCCCACCCCTCCTATGGGCTCCTGCTTCCTGCCCCAGCTGAGGGTCAACATAGGCAGCAACAACGCACGGCCTGTCTTCAGCTCGTGCGCAGTTCTCATGAGGTACGTTCAGGCTTGCGTATATCTCACCATGGCACATCGCGAGCTGTTGCTCTGTCACACCACAATCCTCATAAAAATGGCCACTGCGCTGGACGCGCAAAGGCGCTATGAGAAGCTCGCAGAGGAATTTTCCAGCGCGTAGTCGAAACACTCATGCGAGGAAGCTTCCCGCGCGCTCAGGGCGGTGGGCATCGGCTCCCAAAAGCGTCGAGGCACGCGGGCACTTCCCGCGCTTGAGCTAGAGAATGGCAAGCTCGCAGCAGATCGCTAAGAGGCCACTGATAGATGAGTCCGCCATTTCGCCGCCGAAGAGGTAGGTGTACTGGTGCCACATGATGATGCGCAATGGTTTCTCAACCTACTGCCGGCTGTGCCTACCGACCTCGCCCGCGACCTGGACTTGCAGCAACCCTTTCTGCCTCCTCTCTGCGAGTTCCAACGGGTTTGCAAATTGGCCAAGCGATCGGCCGCCAGCCCCGACGGGGCCCCAGGAGCGCCCCAAGGCCTTCGGCCCGCAGCTGGCCAGACACTACCACGCCGTCATCACAAAAAACTGCGCGCGCATAGCAGAACCCACGCAGTGGAACGGGGGCAATTTCTCCGCAGACTGGCAAACCATGCCGATAACTACTGCGCGAATCGCTCGCGCAGGCAGTACCCACCACGGCAGGGGGCTCAAAATGCGGAGGCATCTCTGGAAGAGGAGTCGGCCTGGCTGCTCTGGCGCTTAGGTCCTGCCAAGATATTGCCATATCATCAAACCGATCAGCGCCCTGTTTCATGATGGGCGCTATTTCTGCCTTCTGCAAGTCGCCCGTCGAGGAGCTCGTGCTCCGCGTGGGCACCTCAGACGGAGACCTGAAGATCATGCTCAACGCAGCAGGTCTCCCAGGAGCAGCAATTGACGACCGAAGAGATCGCGCGGCTACCCATCCCTGCCCGCCCCAGCAGGCCCGCGCCCCTCAGCACGTGCGAGCACTTGCAACATATTGCTATCACGGATCGTGGTTTTTGCTTCATGGAGCTACGTCTATCGCCTACAATCTGGCAGGAGCAGTCCCAGGGCAACAGCTCGGAGATGTTATCTTCAACTATGACATGTCAGCTTGTGTCAAAGAAGCTAATTAGACATGCCCTTTTAGACCTCCAGCTGGATCTCAGAGTGCCCATTGGCGTGCGCTTGTCTCTTGCAGCGCAGCTCTCGCGCGCGCCAGATACTCACAGTGGAAGCATCGAAATCTGTTTGTTTGACGACGGCGCTTTCGTCGCCATCGGCATGGCTCAGATGCCGATGGAAGCAGAGCCAAGAGTCGCAGCAACAGTAGCAACACGGCATGTTCGCAGAGGCTTGCACCTTAATTTCTCCGCCGGCAAGACAGCGGCACTCCTGCAACATTGGGGGTCAAGATCCAGACGTGCTAAAAGGGGGCTCTGGGGTCCCATGCAACGCACCTGCCAGGTCTCCACCGCGCTCCTTGGGGACTTCGCCGTCAGGGCAGCCAGGCAATGCACGCATCTGGGCGCAGAACTTGGCGAAGTGGGACCTATCGGACCTGAGATTGCGCATCGGGAATACTCAGCACGTACTTCCAGACAGCAATTACGCGAGCGAATCTGTCCAGTGGCGCCCTCGCTACCTATGGAGGCAGTCACCGACGCATTGGTGTGCCCAGGGCTACTTCTCAACGCGGATACCAGGCCGGAACTATCTTCTGCTCAACGCGCCCACGTGCAACATCTGATGGTGGCTACCCACCGTTAAATTTTAAGCTGCAGCACTGTGATGACCATCCAGTACTGGATGCATATGTCCTAGCTCAAGCTCAATAGGCCGACCTCGCTACAGCACTACGGGCTCATCGACTCCGTCCGGCTCTTGGGAAGGTTACTACAGCACGGGGCTCCCGCGCCCCGAGGCTCAGTGGCTCACGCTTTTCGATCGGCATCGGTCGCCAGAGATTCGCGGCTCCATCGTGCTCTCCATGATCTCAACTGGCTCCGATCTACCCGCCATGCGCACAAGGCTTTCCCTGACCCCCTCACCGACTTGGGCTCCTGGGAATCGCACATTGCAGGATCCCTTGCTAAATGGCGTGGGTCGGTCAACGCAGCGCTCGCAGCCGACGCAGCAGCTAAGGGACGGATCGCCCTATCACAATATGCTCAGGTCATTTTTTGTATGTTCTTCAGCTCGTACGGCCAGCAAGCGTACCGTTGCCAGTTACGGACCCTATCCACCCTATTTTCCCGCAGCCTGCAGGGTGTGCGCGTGGTGTGGAGTGCAAGCTAAATGCAGGAAAAGGTCTCAGACAGCACATTGTACGCAATCGGTACAGTGCAATACGCATGGTGGAGCGGCTTCTGGGGGAGGGAAGTGCATCCATGGCATGCTCAGTGCAATTCTCAGGGAGACGGCTTTTGAGAGACCACTTGGCCTTCGACTCTCCCATCTGTAGCTTGGCATACCACCTACACGGTGCCGTGTGAGACCCAGATCATGCCAGACAGCTTGCGCAACAACACATGGATGAAAACACAAAGCAAACACAACTCGAGTACGGCAGGTGGAGGGCGACATATCCAACACATATCAGCATACCAGAGCACGGGCTCCACCCAGCGTCAATGCTTGCCTTCTCACATTTTGACGACGAGGAGGCAAGATAGCTACTCCAAGGTGCAGAGTGTGCGCGCGATCCTACTGTGCATACTATCCGAGCCCTCTTTGCGCGTGAAAGAGAGGAGGCTCCAGAGCAACCGACAATACGACCTGCCGACCGATTTGAGAAATTTCGCACGCAGTCTTACCAACAACCAGCGTCAGAACGGCTGCCAAGAAGACTGCACCGCATCGAGATTTGTGTATTCAATCTCTTCTCTGGCACAAGGAGATATATTTGCAGACATGGATCAAAAGGGACGCGGCACACGACATACTATCACAGCAGGATGCTGTGCGTTGACGTTGTCATCGGCAATGAGCTAGGGGATCACACCAAACGGAACACAATTCCAGAGTGGGCCACACACCTACTTGCACGGCGCGTTTGCGACACAGGGGGGGGGGGGCGTGCGAAACGTGGTGGGCAGCACGATTGCATGAGGGAGGCCCCCCCCCCTTTACATACGCGCGAATGGTTCTGGGGTGTGCGATGGGCCACTCCAGGGCAGGCGTTGCAATTGGATATCGGCAACAGACTCATGTGGTCAATCATCTACCTTCTCGGCTGTCTCATCAAGGCAGGCACATCAGGCTGGTTTGAACATCCTCAGCCAGCAGTTTGACAGCCACAAGCCCCATCCAGTTTCCAATGGGACCCTCTGCAGGCTATCGTGGCAGCCCCCACTACGGTCACAGTTGATTTCGACCAGTGCACCCACCCGGACCAGGATCCCACACAAATTGGCAGGGTTTCCACGAGGCTCCTTGGAGTAAGGTTACCTGGGCTCCATCAAAGGCTCCACGGCAGATGTCCCCACCCCAGAGGCACCCACCTCACTCTCTTGGGGACAAGGCAGGACGGCACGTTTCGGACCCACTACAAGAAGACCTCTACACCGCGCATGTGCATGGCTCTTGCGGAGACTATGAGAGATTATGTTGCCTCCATCTTCTGCGAAGCAGGTGCCAATGATGAGACGGACCACAATGACTCGGAGAGACTTGCCTATGATAACGAGCTGCTCAACGGTCTGGGGGCCTTCTATGTGAAGGACACTGATGGTGACTTTCAAGTGGCACCGGATTTCGCGCAGACCAAGAAGACCTCTTCCCGTCAGAGCGCATATCCAGAATTCGACAGTTTCACAGCAGAAGCATGTGATGACGACTTGCAGGCGAGTTTCGAGGTTCTTACTCCAGCTCCGACTCCTGCTCCTTAAGGCTCCCTCTCCCCCGCCCCTGAGGCCATGGACGAGCACGAATCTTTTGATATACATACATATATGTATATATATACATATGTATATATATACATGTATATATATACATATGGGTTTCTAGGCCCCACTCCTCTGTCTGCTCCTCCGCCTCCGTCCCCCTCGCCTCCTCCCCTCAATGACGAGCAGCTCGCTCGCATCGTTGCCAACCGCGCCCTCGCCCGCCATCGCAGGCAGGCGCGCGCGGAGGAGGCAAGGCGGAGAGTGGCGCCGTGGAGGGACTCCCCCCTCTCCTTCATCGAGCACTTCCAGGCCCGCCCCGCTGGCCCTCCCTCCTTTACAGCCCAGGAGGAGCAAGGACTCAGTCCCAAGTCAGCGTCTTACCTACCTCCTCCTCCTCCTCCTCCTCCTCGCCCTCCTCCTCGCCCACCTCATTCTTCTCCTCTTCCTCCTCCTCCTCCTCTTCCCTCCTTCCCTCCCTCCCTCCCTCCCTCCCTCCCTCCCTCCCTCCCCTCTCTTCCTCCTTTTCCTCCTCCTCCTCCTCGCCCTCCTCGTCCCCCTCCCCCTCGCCGAGGCGGGGCCGCTCTGCGCCGCGCCTGCGCCGCCCATCGGGCAACCCCCGCGGCAGTGCGCCTTGCCAGGGGGCTGCGCCGCCGCGAAGATCGAGGAGAGATGCCGCTGCAGGCTCTGCCCGTGGGTGATCTGACCTGCCAGAGGAGGGGGAGGAGGAGGAGGAGGAGGAGGAGGAGGAGGAGCAGGAGGAGGACGAGAAGGAGGAGGACAAGGAGGAGGAAGAGGAGGAGGAGGAGGACCAGTGTAAACCCAAGAGTCATCAACGGTGTTGAAATGAACCCTCCCTCCAAGCTCCCTCTTCACAGGCCCCTACAACGGTTCATTTCCGTTGAGGGAACTGCCTTGTTGAAAGACAACCGTTTGAAGACCCTGAAGCATACCAAAACACTGGGATCAACCTGACTGCTGCGTCTTGACGATCCGGAATCGTGACAGAACACCATTTTCAGGACTTCAGCACAGCGAGTAAACATAACTCTGTTGCACCCGCATAATCCAGAATCCTTCAACAGCGCCATTTCTGGTACGTGTATCATTGGGCCCCGTGAAACTCTTGCAAATGTTTAACAAGAAAGCGCGCGGCGCTAAAACACGAACCACAAATTGAAAACCACCCGCTCTCAATCCGTGAAGCTCTTGCAACTGTTTGAAACGAATGTGCGCGGAGCTCATGCGAACACCACATTTTGAAAACCACCCGCTCTCAATCCATGAAGCTCTTGCACAACTTTAAAGCGAATGTGCGCGGCGCTGAGCGAAAACCACAATTTGAAAACCACCCGCCCTCAATCCGTGAAGCTCTCGCAAATGTTCAAGCGAGTGTGCGCGGCACTACGGCAGAAACCACATTTCGAAAACCACCCGCCCTCAATCCGTGAAGGTCTTGCCAATGTTAAAAAACGAATGTATGCGGCGCTGGTGCGAGAATCACATTTTGAAAACCACCCGCCCTCACTCCGTGAAACTCTTTCAAACGTTCAGAACGAATATGCGCGGCGCTAAGGCTAGCGCCACATTTTGAAAACCACCCGCCCTCCATCTGTGAACCTGTTGCCACTTTTTCAGCTTCAGAATCATGCATGGTGAGGAAGTCTCAGGCGAAACGCCCGGCCCGCCCTAAACACTGGCCTCGGGGTGCGACAGGGGGAAGTTGTTAATAAGGAAAAGAATGGAGGAGGAGGAGGAGGAGGAGGAGGAGGAGGAGGAGGAGGAGGGAGGAGGAGGAGGAGGAGGAGGAGGAGGAGGAGGAGGAGGAGGAGGAGGAGGAGGAGGAGGAGGAGGAGGAGCCCCTGCCTCCTGTCGACCCGTATCCTCAGGACGCACGACAAGGATGCAGGGGCCATGGAAGGCCATGTCGACACTCTGCGAGCGGGGCGCAGCCAGCAAAAGCGGCCAAGGATGGGCCGAGGAGGCAAGGGGGTGCAAGGGTACCCCTTGGGAAAATTGCCTATCCATACTATGCGGTTTGACTGTAGGGGCCCGGAGGCAAGGTCAGTCGGCATCGAACCGGAGAATCGGACAACATCGGATCGCCACGAAATCGAGCTCGGATCGGATTGAGCCGGGCGAGAACGGCGTCGAGTCGGACTGGCCGAATCAAGATGGGCCATGCCTGCTTGAGGAGCTGGCCCACGGCCTGGCATTGTTCGGAAACTCCTCGGCTCACCTCCCTCCCTCCAGCCCTCTCCTCCTCCTCTGGTCCATACTCGGCGCTCTCTTTCCTCCCATGTGGTGGTGGTCGTCGTCGTCCCGTCCTCGTCCTTCCTCGTCCTCGTCCTGGTCCTCCTCGTCCTGGTCCTCCTCGTCCTCGTCCTCGTCCTGGTCTTGGTGCTGGTCCTGGTCCTGGTCCTCCTCCTCGCCCTCCATCCCTTCTCCGTATTGATGACTCCTCCCTGTCGTACCCCAGGCGTGTGGGTAGGGCGTTCCAAGCGTTTCGCTTGAGACTTCCTCATCATTAGTGACCCGTTAGCTCACACTTTGCAACGATTTCGCGGATGGATGGCGGGCCGTTGAACCAAAATGGCTCGATCGCGCGCATTCGTCGTAAACGTGTGCAACAATTTGGCAGATGAAAGGAGGGCGGTTTTCAAAACGTGTCTCTCGCCGTAGCGCCGCGCGCATTCGTCCTGCAAGTCTGCAGCAACTCCGAGCATGGAGGGCGGGCCCTCCTCAACCTGCGGCTCTTGTCTGCGCGCCCGCCCGCGCATATGGTCAAAGCTTGCCACAGACTCAAGCATTGAGGGCGAGCACTTTTCAAAATGTGGCTCTCGCCCTGGCGCCTCCCAGTCGTCTGAAAACGTTTGCGTCAATGGAGAATATTCGTATGGCCGAGTTCTCAGGAATGGCGTTCCGGCACAAGCTAGGACAGTCACGACGCAACAGTCACGTTGGATCGCTGTGGTGATGTCGCAGGAACTGTGTTTTGGCACCATTTAGGAATGCCAGGACGTACCAGTCACGTTGAATCGCGGCACTGAAATCCCAATAATTGCGGTTCGGTACGATTGAAGATTCTGAGGCGGTTGTCTTCCCATAGGGCACCTCCCGCAATGAAAATATACTGTTGCAGGGACCTGTGAGGATGAGACTTGGAGGGATGGTGCATGGCGACATCGTCGATGCGTCTTGGGTCTTGCACTGGTCCTTTTCCTCCTCCTCCTCCTCCTCCTCCTCCTCCCTCCTCCTCCTCCTCCTCCTCCTCCTCCTCCTCCTCCTCGTCCTCCTCCTCCGCCAGCCCAATCGCAGTCGCCGCCATCGTCGCCCGCGGCGCGCGGGCCCGCGGGCGCTGGATTCTGGGCCGGCGGCGCCGCGACCCAGAATCGGGCCCCGGGCGGCTGGGCGCACGGGGGCGGATCCTGGGTCGTCGGCGCGGGGGCCCAGAATCAGCCCCAGGGCGCCTGGCTGCCGGGGGGCCGCGCGGTGGGCCGGCGGGGCGGCGCCCGGCCCGGCCGGCCAGCCCCGCCCGCCGCCGCCCCCCGCGTCGCCGCTTGTCCAGTCGCCGTCGCCGCCGTCGTCGCCCGCGGCGCGTGGGCCCGCGGGCGCTGGATTCTGGGCCGGCGGCGCCGCGACCCAGAATCGGCCCCCGGGCGGTTGGGCGCGCGGGTCAATTCTGGGTCGACGGCGCGGCGGCCCAAAATCAGCCCCAGGGAGCCTGGAAGCTGTGGGGCCGCGCGTTGGGTCGGCGGGGCGGCGCCCGGCCCGGCCGGCCGGCCCGCCCGCCGCCGCCGCCCCCCCCTTGTCGCCGCCAGCCCAGTCGCAGTCGCCGCCGTCGTCGCCCGCGGCGCGTAGACCCGCGGGCGCTGGATTCTGGGCCGGCGGCGCCGCGACCCAGAATCGGCCACCGGGCGGCTGGGCGCGCGGGGGCGGATTCTGGGTCGACGGCGCGGCGACCCAGAATCAGCACCAGGGTGCTTGGACGAGGCCCGACCGCGGGCGGTGCGCCGCCCCGCCCTCCTTCCCTCCCCCCGCCGTGCCTGCTCCGCCCCCTCCCCCCCCCACTCTGCGCCCCCCGCCTCCTCAGGGAACGCTGTCGTGCCTGCCCCGGCCTGCCCGGGCAGGGCGCTTCAACGTCAGCAGCGCGTCCCCGCCGAGCCGTCCCCGACGGGCGTAGAAACGCCCCCCCCGTGATTCTGGGTCGCCAGCGCCGCGACCCAGAATCGGCCCCGGGGGGCCGGGGCGCGCGGGGGCGGATTTTGGGTCGACGGCGCGGCGGCCCAGAATCGCCAGCCGAGCCGGGGCCGCTGCTGGACCGTGCCCCCGTCTCTCCCGCCCCTGCCCCTGCCCGCTCCGCCTTCTCACCCTCCCCCCCCCGTTCCTTTCCCCCCTCTTCAGGGGGCGCTGTCGCGCCTGCCCCGGCCTGCCCGGGCAGGGCGCTTCAACGCTGCCCGACGCCCTAGCGATGCGGCCCCATAGGCCTGTCGGGCACGGAGGAGCTTCGCGGGGCGGTCCCCTCAACCATCCCACGAGGGTTGGTTGGCCCACGACATTCCTGATGTCCAAATTCTGATGTCCTCCTCCTCCTCCTGGTCCCCCGGAACGGGTCGAGACCCATGCGGGCCGGCGCCACGACAAAAATCATGACGTCGGGGGTCCAGGGATCGGAATGCGGTCTCGCGTTGTTCGCGATAACGCCCGTGACCCCCCCCCACCCCCCCCCCCCTCCTCCCCTCCTCCTCCTCCCCTCCTCCTCCTCCTCCTCCTCCTCCTCCTCCTCTCTCCTCCTCTCCTCCCTCCTCCTCTCCCTCCCTCCCTCCTCCATGACCTCCCCTGCTCCTCCTCCTCCTCCTCCTCCTCCTCTCCTCCTGCTGGTCCTCCTCCTCCTCCTCCTCCCCTCCTCCTCTCCTCCTCCTCCCTCCTCCTCCTCCTCCCTCCTCCTCCTCCTCCTCCTCCTCCTCCTCCTCCTCCTCCTCCTCCTCCTCCTCCTGGTCCTCCTCCTCCTCCGCCGCCCCAGGTCACCCAGCAGCTCGGGGCCGCCAGCGGACCCTCTCGCCGATCGTGGCCGGGCCCATCCCGGGCCCACGACCGGTGCACACGGCCTCCAGGCAGAGAATATCACCCCTCGGTATCACTCGGACGTCCATTTCCTGTGCATGTTTCGGTTTCGTGTGTGTGTGTTATTTTTGCTCGATGGTCCAGGATGGTCCTCGATGGTCCCCGCCGAGAAAAAATATATGCACACGTCCGAGCGATGCCAGGACCCCCACAACGATCACCCCGACACGCGAAGCCGTTCAGTAAACGCACCCACAGAAGGAACCGGACAGGGCAGGGCTGCTCAGTCACCGCTCAGGGCCGTGGAGTAAACGACGGTTGTCGGGGTCTGGGCGGCTTTTCCTCCCTGGAAGGAGGGCGCGTGCACCGATCTTGGGCCCAGGACGGGGCGGGCCAGGATCGGGTGGGGCAGTCCGCTGATGCCCCCCGACTGCTGGAGGAGGTGGTAGCCTTAGGTCGGGCGTGTCCCCTGACAGGCGGATTTTGGACGACAAATAAAACAGATTCCAAAAATAATCAAACATTTACACAAAAAGAAAGAAAGAAAGGAAAAACAAACAAAAAACAAACAAAAAAAAAAAAAAAAAAAAACGTCCCCATAATATTTTTGAATGTCACTCCTGGACGAGCTGCGTCGCCGTGGTCGGGCCACTGGGGCCCTCCACGGCCCCGGGAACGCCGAACAACGACCCGGGATGATGAATCAGCCCTGGGGCACATTTGGGTGACCCAAAAGGGGGGTCCAACTGAAAAGGGGTAGTGCAACAGATTTTGATTGATGTACTATCAGGTGGAGCTACTCCAGAGGTAGGGTGCTTCACATACACCATCTTCTTCTACAATAGATTTGGGGCCATTGTACTGCAAATGTGCTGCACCGGAGAATTGCATTGCATTGTGTTGCAAATAATGTGTTGCACGCGCAAGTGCAGCAATACATTTGCGCCCCGGAATGTATTGCACGCCCCAAATGTATTGCAACCCCACAAATCTATTGCACCACGCCCTTGTCGCTGGACCCCCTGGTGGATCAACCCCAGGAACAGCTCTGGGACGTGTTGCAGTCAACCCGAAGAGTATAAGGACGCGCGATGAGGACGCAAGGGCCTCGGAAGGCCATGCCGACACCTTGCGGGCGGGGCGCGGCCAGCGAGAGCGGCCAGGGATGGGCCGAAGGGGTAGGATGCAAGGGTGACCTTGGGAAGTCGCTCATCCTTACTGTGCGTTGACTGGAACCTCAGGACTCTTGTCCTGCACATCGACGGAGTGGGGCCAACGGGGGACACGCGACGTCTGCGGGGCGGGGCGAGGCCAAACAAGAGCCGAACCAGACACACAAGTCATGCTACCCGGCGTGCTGCAGTGTGCTGTGGGTGTACTTCTTGCTCATTCTTCCTCCCCCGTTCGCCCTCCCATTCATTCCACCCCTCTTGCCCTAAGACCCCAGGACGACGACGACGCCCCGGCTGACCCGTCGACGGGTCCACATGCGAGTCGTCGCGCTGGCGTCCCGCGTCTGGCGCGCGCACGCGCGAAGGGGGGACAGGGAGGGGCGGGGAGGGGGACGACGGCAGGAGGGGGAGGGAGGAGGGCACAGGGGAAGAACTGCATGCGGCAGAGGGGGCGGAAGGGTGGGGGGGGGCATGGATTCGCTGGGAAGGATTCGCGTCGTTGCCGTCCTCGTGGCGACCGACCACCGCGCCTCGCCGCACCCCGGAGAGAGTCGAGACCAGGCCCGAAACACTGGAAGCACAGGGCCCGTCTGCAGTGCTCGGGCGCTCCCCACGCCAACTCAAGCATCACAGGCCGGGGACCTCCGATCAACCCAGGCCCGATCCGCCGTGCAGCCACAAGGCCGCCTCTTCCCCAGGACCAAAGGCCCCCCGAGAGGGGGGAGGCCAAGGGATCAATGCGGGAGTGCATCCTCCCAGCCGGCTCCGGCTGCTCCCCTCAACCCCCTACGCCCTCTCCCTTGGTCTGAAACCCTCCCCCCGCGACGCGTTCTGGCCCAAGATCTCTCCGAGATGGCCCCGGGCAGCCCAAGATGAACTCCAAGATCGCAGAAGATAGCCCAAGATGGCTCAGGATAGCTTCCAGCACTCCTCCCAAATGCTCCAAGATTGCCCACATGCCGCTCCAAGTGGCCACGGAGCGCTTCAAGGACGCACCCGAGGGTCTAACATGCACAAAACAGACTGGAAACCAATGATACTTTGCCTTCTCGCCTTTTCGTTTCCGATGGTTATCTGAGGCCTCACGCTGGCTCCAACACGGCTCCAAAGAGCGCCAGTGGGGGCCTAAAAAAGGCTTAGGACGGCTCCGGGAGCGCCAAAGAGGATCCCCAAAGGCGGAGTGTCGGGCCCCGACGGGGGCTGGCAATCGTCCCACCAGACCTCTGGGCGTATTTTCTTTCTGCCAAAAAACCTTCCTTTACCTGGTCGGGAGAAAGGGGTTCGTCACTGTTCCGTATTACTATACACCTCCTCCCCCACCCGGCCGTCGGCCAACCTGGAACCATACCAACCCCATGCGGGCCCCCACCCACCATCCCTGTCAAAAACCATACTAAACGCACTCTGATCCCACATTTGGATGGACATGCGCGGCCGCCCCGCGACCATTTTGCATGGGTATATTACAGGGACGGCTGGGGTGCCAGCAGAACCCACCTGCCCTCTGGGCGCAGGTGACCGACTGGTTTGACACCTCGGTGGCTGCTGCCTTCTCGCCTTACCGTTTCCGATATGATTTCGAAACCTCCACATGACTCCACAATTTGCCGAACAAAAATTCAAAGCTGGGCCCAATAACTCCGATTGGTCCCCTGTGGTTAGAGCACCTGGCGCGGCTGGAGCACGTGGGGCACTGGGCGCACGTGGAGCACGTGCCGCACATGGCGGGCCTGGCACGCTTGGGCCTCCAGGGTCTGGTTCGGGGGCGCGCGAACTTGGATTAGCGATCCATGGATTTGGCGCGCGGTCGTCAAATCCATGGATCGGGTGAGGTGCCCTCCCAAAATGCGGCCAATGCCGCCCCGTTCGGCGGCTGAAATCCGCGATTTCCCATAGAAACGGGACCCGTCGCTAATCCACGCCCCCTTTTGATCCATGTTTGCGATCGCCTGACTGGCGCATTTGGAACCGTGGCGTCTGCGGCGTTGTTTCGCGACCTGCTGACTCCCAAGTGTTACGTATGTGTTGGGAGGGCGGGTGGGGATGAGCAGGACTGCTTGCGGGCGGGTGGGAAGCCTGACCCCTATCCCTACTCCCTCCCTTGGACCTGGGTGGGTGCTGTGTGCGCGATCGGCCAGAGCGTCCAAAATGGCCCAATATGGGTCCAAGAAGGACTCAGAGAGCCCAAGATGGCTTCCAACATGGCTCAAGATATCCGAACGTGCTTTACTATACCCTTCGACGTGCCTCGAAGACGCCTCAGGGCGGCCCCGCGACGGATTCGAGTGCCCTTCAAGCTCTCCAAGGACCTCCTCAAGATGCCAAAATGGCCCCCAAACCACAGGGCATGGGCAATGTTTGCCTTCTCGCCGCGTCGTCCCCGACGGGCCTCGGAGGCCCAGCAACGGCCCCAACGTGGCCCAAAGGCGACTCAATAGGGACCCACAAAGACTCCAAAACGACCCCACGAGCGCCCAAGAGCGCTCCACGAACGGCTCCAAAGGGCCTCGAGACGACATTGTTGAATCTCCGACGGGGGGGTGCGAATCTGCCACCCTTATCTTTTTGCGCCGCGGGGGCCGAGATGGCCCCGAGAAGCCCCCAGACCCCCCCCACGAGGCCCCCCAAAAGCCTCTAGACCCCAAAAGAGAGCCCCGAGAGGACCCCAGGAGCGCCACAAGTGGCTCCGCGAGGACCCCGAGAGAGACCCAAGGTGGCTCCAAGAGGCCTCCGAAACGACACGTCCATGGCGGTAGTTGCACTGCGTGCTTCTACACTTCCCTTATCAAATCAACTCGCCTGGCCATCTATGGGCTGATGAAGATTTTTGGTCGCGAGCGCAAGGGGAGACGCCGGGCACCGTCATGACGAAACGTCGATGCAACGGCCTAAATTCGCGCGCAGAAGGAGGAGGGGGAAACGAACAAGAAGCGCGCCAGCACCAGGACGAACTCCTGGGCGTCGTGCAGCACCTCGAGGTAATTGAAGAGGTCCTCGGCCCGGATGTGGAAGAACGTCGCGAGGAGCACCGCCAGGGACACAGCCAAGCACCATCCCACCACGACGGGCCTCGACAAGAGGAGGAGCAGGCCGTGCGGGCGTTCGACGGGAAATCCGGATCGCCAGTCACCAGATGGTGCGAGGAGCGCGTGTGAAGAGAAGCCAAACTCCAGCGAAGATTCGGTCCTGCTGATGGGGATCAAGAGCTCCCCCATTTCCTTGTTCGATGGCATTCAACCCCTAGAAGGCCCCAGAGGCCCCCAAGAGGGTCCAAAAAATGCCCGATGAGGCCTTACCAAAAGGCTCCCATACCGAAGCATCCGCGAAAGCATGTATGGCACCTGGGCCTGCTCAAATTGATCCCGATCTTCGGCTTGACGGGGCTGCCACCCTCACTCTTTCATTGCGTGCTCCCGCACTTCCCTGATCAATGCAACTCGGGGTGGGCACCGTTTTGTGGGTGGGCTTGTGTGGATGCACGGATATCGTCAAGAATTGCCGTGACACGCGCGCGCGTGGCTGGCATTGTATTATCCGACAGGGGCGGTGCCTTGACCAAGATCGACGGGGCCCGGGTGTGGGGGCACGTTCTTAATTATGGTATTGGCAAAGGTGGTGCCCGAAGCTCGATCCGAAAGCGCGCGCGCGCGTGGTGCCCGGGGCAGGATCCGGCCTGGTCGGGCTCGAGGTCCATGGGGAGCGGGCTCCAGAGGGAGGAAGCGAGGATGAAGAGGGCATGCAGCTATAGTTCCTCAGACATCCCGATCAAGAAAGAGCCATTCAAACTGCTGCTCCTAAACGTCGGCAATTCTGCAGCGCGCCTTTCCCCGCCAGCGTACATCACTCGTACGTCCAAGTGTCAAGCCTGGACGCACGATTGATGCACGTTAGCATCGCGCATTCGAATACCTGCTTCGAACTGGCTTGAAACAGCCATCGCAGCAATCGGCTCGTTTCGGCTTCGCGGAATCAGAATGCGCCATGGCTGTGCCCAACTAATGGCCTCCCTTTGGGCTCACTGCCAGGGGTGGGCAGAACGCATTTTAGCAAAACGCCTCTTAATGAAAACTGCCAATCGCACTCCACGCGCCAAAGGCACCGCATTCCGAATAGACCCGGGCGGAATAGCTCAGCGACGTCCATCAACTACGGATAGCACGGGCAAAACACACGCCGATTGGCGAAACCGACGGTGGACTGGGACTGCACTGGCACACTCGACGGCCAATATGTCGAGTGAACCCGTGTCGATTTCCTCGGTCGGCCTGTCTGGGGCTGCGTCCCATGCCCGACACTCGTCGGCGGACTCACTTGCCTCGCAACGTCCACTCGTCTTCCCGCGCGGTGGCCTCGCTTGGACGCGCTCGGCCCTGTCGGCCACGCTTGCGCCACCACAGCGTCCAAGAATGGAGACGTCTGTTAGCGGCACCGGCCCCGTTGACAGCCCTGCCGGCAGTGGCGACTGGCCCCACGCAGTCGCTCAACACATCGAGTGGATCTCCTGTGGATTTGTCCTCGCTGCGATGATGGGGAGGCAGTACCACTGCCCTGCTACCAGGTCCAGTTCGAAGTCGAAACATGTGAATGCTAGCTCTCTGCTCTCGGTCCGAGCGGTGTGCAACGATGCCGGCGCCGATCGTCGATGGGGACAGAGAGACGAACACATGAGCGCATTTTGTATTCGCAGCCAGAACGGCCGTTTTGGGAGGGGGGGCATAACGTAACACAAGCCCCCCCCTGGCCTGGTGGTCCAGGCACCGAAGCTCCTGCGCGCATTACAGCGAGCACCACTGTGCGCAGCACACTGTGCACTGCTGCAGCCGCGTGCACCACATGGCCTATGTGGTGCGCGGTGCATACGGCAGGTTCGTGTCGTGCCGACCCCAGCGTTTGTTTTTGACACCGCAGGGATCGTTCAACCTTGAACGATCGGCCGCTGCCGCAACGTCCGATCGTTCAACATCGACCGATTCTGGGTCGCCGGCGGCGTTCAACCTTGAACGCCAGCGCTGGGGTCGCCGCTGGTCGGCACGACGCAAACCTGCCGTACGTGCACCAGCGTGCACCGCAGTCTTTTCCCCACGACCTCCTTCGAGCATCATTCTGTGCTGGTGTCTGCTGGGCGACGAGGGCGCCCAAGCGCCAGACGACGATAACATCGACGAGGACGAGGACGAGGACGAGGACGGGGACGACGACGACGAAGATGACGACGAGGACGATGACGACAACGAGGATGAGGACGACGACGAAGACGACGACGACAAGGGCAACGACGACGACGACGAGTACGAGCACGAGTGCGAGTGCGAGTACGAGTACGACGACAACAATTGCCGCCTCTGAAGGTCTCCAGAAGTCTCTGGGGGCCGAAGCCCTGTTAGACAGCCGAACACAAGGATAGACACGATTAGAAATTCAGAGCTTCCCGTCGAGACGCCGTGCACACAAGATTCATTAGTATCTATGGTTTAGATATACAAGCTTTTAGGAATTATCGTTTTCCCAGCAATGCCTGGTTATGATGGTATAGATTGTAATACGATAACCACGCGCGAGCGCATCGCGCGCGCTTAGTTTCTAGTTGAAGTCCCAACCAGTTGCGACGCACGGAACAGAATGGCTGCGAACATGATTGATGATCGTCCTGGTCCTGGTGGACGTCCTCGTCGTCGTCCCTGTTTGTTTCCTCCTTTTCCTCCTCCTCCTCCTCCTCCTCGGCCCCTGTCTGACACTGGATCCTGGTCCGCTGAATCCCTGGACCTTACCTCTCCTGGACCCCTGACACTGGACCCTGGACGACTATGAGGACGGCGACAGCGACGAGGACGACGGTGAGGACGAGGACGAGGACGCGGACGACTCCGTACTTATTTTTGCACACGTCTATTTTCATTTTGTCATACAAACTGCATGTCAAACCGGCATAGCAATAGACTCGTATGTTGTGCGCTGCGACCCAAGCCCGTCGCTGTTTCGCTAATGCAGGCGCGCACCAACTATTGACATTCCCAATATCTATTCTTTGCCTACTGGGGAAGACGTCTACAGACCTCCGGAGGCGTCTAGAGGTCCTCGGCGACGACGAAGACAAGGACGAGGACGAGGACGACGAGGATAACAAGGACGGCAGGGACGAGACGAGGACGGGGACGGGGACGAGGACGACGATGACGACGAGGACGAGGACGAGGACGACGAGGACGACGGCCGCCTCCGAAGGCCCTGGAGGTCTCTGGAGACCTGTCGGGGCGTCTGGAGGCCCCTCGACGCCCTCGACGAGGGCGAGGACGAGGACTGGGAGGACGAGGACGAGGAGGATGAGGACGAGGACGAGGACGATGAGGACGACGACGACCACCACGACGACGACGGTGAGGACTAGGACGAGGACGCGGACAACGACGACGACGGTCGCCTTTGAAGGTCCCTGAAGGTCTCCAGAGGCCTACTGAGGTCTCTGGAGACCTCTGGAAGCGTCTGGAGGCCCCTCGAGGCCCTCAGCGACGACGACGACAACCACGACGACGACGACGACCGCGACGAGGACGAGGAGGACGAGGACGACATGGACGAGGACGAGAACGGGGCCGACGATGACGGCTAAAACGACGACCACGACGACGTCGACGGCGACAACAACGAGGCCTTGAAGACGGAAACAACGACGACGAAGGCATCGACGACGACGACGAAGACGACGACCACGGCCTCTTCTGAAGGCCTACAAAAGTCCCCCGAGACTCAGGAGATCTCTCGAGGCCTCCGGAAGCGTCTGCAAGCCCCGCGAGGCCCTCGGACACCACGACGACCGTTACAGAAGCCTGCAAACACGACAATAGCCTGCGAGCGTCGCGATGGCAGAGCCGGAGGCGCACTACGTTTGGGGGGGGGGGCGGGCGGGCGAGCGTTATGTCATGTGGGGGGGATGGGCGGGGGCACAACGCGCGTGATGTCCCGGAGGCTTTCAACACACGCTCCGACATTGGGTGCCTGGGCACTGAGTACAGCTCTGGCACGGCTGCCCCCTCTCTACACCCCGAGGCGGCGAGAAGAGGAAGAGGGGGAAAGGGGGCGGAGGGAGGCGAGACTGGAAGGAGAAAGAAAACCATAAACATAAACTTTTGGCGCCGCGCTGGAACCCCCTGGCGGCGCCTCTGGCGCCGCCCCTGGCGCGCTCCGCGCGCCAGGGAGGGGGGTCCAGCGCCGATCCGAGAAATCCGCGCGGACCTCCGAGTTCTTATGTTTATGCCATTCTTCGTTCCCCTATACATTTGGAGGGGGGTGAGGGGTGCGCTTTTCCGGTCCTCGGCCCCCTTGGGGGCCCTTTGCAGCCATGGTTGCCCCCCATTTATCTCCCACCGTTACGCGTCCTCCGACCGAATCAGGGCCAAATGATGCCGGGAACTCGATAATATCGAACGCCCTGGCAAGGTCCACGCCGACAGTCCAAATGTTTCCGCGCCGCTCCCAGCACTTTCCACATACTTCTTCAAGGCCCACAAAAGCATCGTCGACTGATCTCCCTGGCCGAAACCGACCTGACCAGCGTCCTGTTGAACAGACGGGGCGCCCGCGTTTAGAGGGATGGACGAACTCCGACGAACGGTGACGAGCAGGAGCAGGAGGACGAGGAGGCCGAGGAGGATGAGGACGAGGAAGAGGAGGACGACGGACAGACATGTGTGCTTCTCCCCCTCCATGCACGATGCAATAATCCTGATGCCTGGATGCAATGCGGTCGACTCCTCCTCGTTACGACCCTGCTGCTCCTCCTCCCCCTTGTCCGAGTCGTCTTCCCGCCCTCCTCATCGGGGGGCGCGCGCCCCATGCTGCCTGGGTAGAGGAGCTGGGCGAACGCAGGCTCGTGGCGCTCCAGCCTCGGGGCATCAGCGGAGAAGGGAGGAGGGAGGGAGGAGGAGAGACAGGACGGGCGCCGAAACCTGTATCCACTGCTCCCCGGCCAGGCCCATCCTGAACCCAGCAGCGGTGCGCACGCCGCGCCCTCCCGGCTTGGCAAGGAGGGCGTATAGGGCCAAGGAGATCGGGAGGCCCAACCCCCCCTCAAGACAATACTCTGGAACCCATCTGGAAAACGGTGTCTCGATCCGCACCCTCGCGTGGAGCACGCGCGCAAGTGGCCCCGCGCAGACCGCGCCCTCACTCCTGCTGCTGCGAGCGTGCGTGGAGATTTCAACCATCCCCGCGCAACTCACTCGACGATTGAGTCTTTGCCCCCTCCCCGTTTGAGCCCACCATCATCGTGGCCGCGCGCCCTACCGCGGCGACGAGGTCCCCAGATCCCACGGCGGCGTCCAGTTGAGGACGGACTCCTCAAGAACACACACACACACACGTATTAAGAAACAATCCGCCGACCCAGTCGGCTTGTGTGAGAGGCTCTTCGACGCGAGGCCAGCTCAACCCAAACTTAATTACGCTAGCCCCTCCTTTGACCACCTCTGCAAGACACATCGCCTCCAATTCGCCTCATGATGCATGAAGAATCTTCCCCCGAGGCCCCAAGATAACCCTTCTATCACCGACCCAGCGTGCCCAGGTCAGCATAACAACCTTCGGGGGGGAGCATCGAGCATCTCCTCATTCTCCTCCTCCGCCTCCGCCTCCATCTCCATCTCGTCCTCCTCCTGCTCCTCCTCCTGCTCCTCCTCCTGCTCCTCCTCCTGCTCCTCCTCCTCCTTCGCCTGGTCCTCCTCCTCCTCCTCCTCCTCCTCCTCCTCCTCCTCCTCCTCCTCCTCCCTCCTCCCCCTCCCTCCCTCCTCCCCCCCTTACCCCTGCTCCGAAGGCCCCAGTGGCCAGGAAGGGCCAACCACTCCACAAGATCCTCGATGCTGCTGCTACTGCTGCAGCTCCTCACTCCACCCCCCCCTCCCTTGCTGCTGACTCTCGACCCTGCCCCCCTCTCCCCTCGTCTCGCCATCGCTCGGACATCCATTCCCCGCGCATGCTTCGGCTTCGTGCGCGTATCTTCCGCAGGGTAGCCCAAGCTGCTCCTCGTGCCCTGCCGAGAAAGGATGCACACGTCCGAGCAGTGCCAGGTCGTTCCGTTGTCGCGCCCTCCCCGCGGGGGCCGGTCGCCTCTTCCGCACCGCGGCCTCCGCGGCCTCCAGGGACCCCTTGCGCGCGCAGAAGAGGAGCCACGAGGCCTGCACCTGCAGGGGGGATGCCCCAAGCGTCTGGGGCAGGGATGAAGAGGAGCCGTAAGAAAAAAAAACATCGGATCGGGAAATCAGATCGAACCTGCCAGCCGCGTCGCTCTCGCGAGGCCTCGCCGCCGCTGCCGCGGTCATGCGGCAAGGCGCGCGAAGCAAGCCACCTGCTCAAGGAACCGCATAATACCTTTTAATAACAGCGAGCCTGCGAACTTCTAGAGAGCGCAGGAAATCCACCCATAGAACCAGCACCACGACAAGCGAAGCCGTTGAGTAAACGCACCCAAGGGAGAAATCGAACACAGGCGGGGCTGTTTCGGCAACGCCCAGTGCCGTTTGGTAAACGCCAATTGTCGTCACCTGGGTGGTTTCCCTCCCTTGATATTCTAGAATGCGAACTCTTTGAGCATGTCTTCCATCTTAACTGCTTGATGGCGGGTGTTTTTGTCCGCGTCTGACTTGTCAGAAACATCTGAATGAAGGCCCCCCGGGACCCTGGGTGGGGTACACGGGGGGGTGGCTCGCACCTGGAGAGGAAAGGCCGAACTAGACTTTTTGGCCGAAGCGGTGGGCTCCCAACCCTCGCGCGCGCCCTCCGAAAATCGTCCCCTGGCGTTGCCCTCTAGACAGCTCCAAGAGAGAAACAGCACCGTTGCAGACCGGCAGTGAAATGCCCCAGTGCCAGCCCAGGGCAATCTAACGGCTCCCCCAGAGGCCCCAACATGTCTTCCGCAGGCGTGGAAATGTGTGTTGGGCCAACTTCGGCAACTTTAATACTGTTAGCCAGCGTGGACCCCAAACATTAATGGTGTGCAGTCGAGGTGACCGTTATGCGGACGTGCCCATGTAGTGCAAGCTAGTCAAAAGATATGCGGTGTGGCATATGTGGTGTAAGCTATGTTGTATACGCTATGTTGTGTGACATGTGCTGCGCAAGCTGTGCGGTTGCACCAATGCCATGCGGTGTCAGCTATGCGGTGTGAGCTGTGCTGTGCAAGCCACGCCATCAATCCCAATGTGTGGGGCGCCCACGAGGTGGCACGGGCGCGAACACGGCAAAAGCTCTTTGGACCCACGCTCGGGGGCGGCCAAGAGGGGGGCGTCCAAGAGGGGGGGGCGCAAATTATGGCCGGCGGCCATGTGCGCGGCCCAGGGGGGGGAGGTCAGGGACGCAGTGAAATGAGAGGAGACGCCATGAAATCTGAGGAAATATCATTGCCCACACCATGATTTCCCCCCCAGTCTTAGATCGGGCATGTCCCCGTACAGGAGGATTTTATGCGAAAAAAGAAGAATAGTAAGAAAATAATCCACTATCGTGGAAAAACATCGTCGAGAAATCACCCCCAGGCTATTCTTGGACTATGTTTGAATATTCCTCCTGCAGAGGGACACGCCCGCCTTAACCCTACGGTGCGGGCATTGGATAAGGAACCCTTGGATAAGGAATCCAGGGTCTGGAGACCGGTGGAACTTCAATCGAGGCTTGGCCATGGATATCACCGCCGCCCTCATCAGATAAGGAATCCCCCAGTGTCTGGAGCCTCCTGGGCACATTCCTTAACCAGCACCCCCACCGTAGTCGTCACCCCCCTCTCGGCCGCCCCCGACACGCGGCGGCACGGGCGCCAAGGCGCGGCGAAACCCCGCAGCGGACCCGCCCAAGGCCCAGGGCGCCCACGAGAGCGCCCCCACGACGGGGCACGGGCGCGGGCGTGGAAGACCGTCGGCGGACCCGTCCGATGGCTGAGTTAGCGAGGCGGAAATGTATCCACATCCGCCGCCTGGGAACCGACGTCCTGGTGCCCCCGCGGGCGGTGGGCACGGATCTGCGTTGGCCCCCGGGGGCCCGAAGATATCCCGATCCACCGCCTGCCCAGGAACCCGAAAGTGGATCCTCCGGGCGGTGGTCGTGTGTAAATCCCCGCCTCGGAGCATCACCCGCGGGTCGGAAGAAGTAGGTAAAAACACGAAGTAGGAAGGCGGATTGAGTTGATTGGGTCCAGCCCCCCCAGGGCAGAACAACACACAGCAAAAGCGTGCCGATTCTTGAAGTGGGAAGGCGCTTGAAATAGATTGGGTTCTGGGACTCCAAAAATGAAGCGGCCCCAGGACACACAAATACATACACACAAATAAAACTATTCCCCATATTTTCCCATATTTCCTGGATTTCTGTCTTCCCCCCCACTTCCCACATGTTCCCATCTTTTCCTGGGGATCGTCGATGAATTGTGTCCGTGTGTGTGTGTTTTTTTTTCCCTCCTGAAGAAATACCTACTTTCGACGACCGGCGTGCACCCACCGGTCGGAAAAGCAGCGGGCCCGACGCTGGGGCCCCGGAGGCCGACAGCGAGGGGAAACAAACAAAAAAAAACGCGCGCCGGAGGGGCGACGCCGTAGGCCTCGGGGGTCCGGGTGCGCGGACGCCCGTCCGGTCGTCGGGCGGGGCGGAGCGGGCGGAGACGTGGGGCAGGGAGGCGCTGGGAAGCGGGCTGGGCTTCCGCCCGCCCCCTGGAAAGGAAGGAAGAGGGTTACAGTCGGGGCCTTGACCTAAGGAACGATACATAAGGAACGAGGCCCCTTTTTTCCATAAGTCAAGCTCCGATGTCCCATCGAAAACCGAGGAAAACCCAAGGCAAACAGTGAAGCAATCAAGGAACACCGAGCCCCTCCCCAACGAAAAGGGTTCCTTCTCCAGGGCCCCGACTGTATGTTGCTCCCATCGTACTGAAGGACCACATCCCAGAAATGATTTCGAGCACCCGGGAAAGTGTGTCGAAAGAGTGTCGAAAGAGTGTCGAAACAGCGTCGGGCGCGTGTCTCCCAGGGCCCGGCACGTGAAGGCCCTGGACCTGGAGTTTCGATACTTGGTTTGGCGTTGGAAGCTCTTTCTGGTGATCACGGCTACGGCTAAAGTAGGTTGGAACATCCTAAGAAGAGGGGACACGCCGCTCGACTCTTGAAGCAGGAAGGCGCCTGAAGCAGATTGGGGCCTGGCAGTCCAGGAAGACCTACGTGCAACGACCAGCGTGTGAGCGAAGCAAGCACACCGAGTGCAAACACCCATGCTGCGCCGACCTCCTCTCAGGGCTGAAGATACGCACTTTGGTACGAGAACTCCTGTCCAGGAGCGCGTGCCAGCAAGGCCGTAAGTGCGAAGGGCGGCTCCTGGGGGGGGGGGGGGGGGGGCGGGGGGGGGGGGGCGAGGCCAAGGACCTCCCCTTCCATTGCCAATCTGACGCGAAACCAATCACGCAGACGGAAGACTGCAGCCATCCCCCAAACCCCCGTTTCCTCCGAAAGGCGCTCGTGCAGGCAGTCTGCCTCATGCTGCTGCCGTGAGGGGCAACGATCGGGGGGGATAGGCATATGGGTGGGATGCATCGACCTGGGATCGGCGATGCATCGCCGATAGATCGGCGATAGGCCGCCGATGGCGAATCCGCACCTTCCTGGGCGGGCTGGGGCCATCGGACCCCTATCGGCGATCCATGGGCGATTGGGGGTTGATGCATCCCCCCCTATGCCTATCCCCCCCTATCGTTGCCCCCGATGCTGTGCCTCCCCCCTCCCAAGCCTGGAGATGATTACCAGCCTGGAACATATCACGATGCCAATCTTAGGGATTCCCTTATTTTTTGAGGGCGAATCCCTAAGATTGTCATCGCCTTTTGGCGTGTCAATCTTAGGGATAGGGATACGTTCGAGGCTGGTAAGATGAGGACAAATTCGACCGAGGAAAAATCGGGAATCTCTGAGAACCGGCGACTCCGGAGGATGCGTCGGGCGCCGCGGAAGTTCCAGAGCGCTCCCGAGCGCTCGAGGGGCGTTCTGGAACGCTCTGGGGCGAGGCATCCTCATCCCAAGCCTCCCTGGCTTGCCGTCGTAATCCTCGCTCCCTGCTTCGCCCTCTGCCTCGGCATCATCCTGCGACCGGGTTTCGCCGGCAGGGGCGCATCAAGACACCACACACTTTTCGATAGAGTATCCTCGCTTTCTTCCCGCGTGCTGCGCGGCGACTTCCCGCGGCTGTTGAGAAACTGCTGCGCTCCAGGTGCTCCGGCTTTGCCCTCGGGTGAGCCTCTCGCGCGGGTTCTCATGGCTGGGCTTCTTTCTCTGCTGGAGCGCCCTGCCGCCGTGGCAAGCTCGGGTCTTAGTGTCTCTACTGCACGCCCGCCCACAGCAACGCCTCACCCTCGGAAAACGCCGGCCGCCGCTGCCACAATTCGATGGGAAGGGCAGGCGTAGAGGAGCCCGACGAGGAGGGCCTCGTGCGATGGTTTCCTGCGAGGGCTTCCTGCGGCCGCGCCCGCACCATATCTTTTGAGAGGGGGGGGGCGGGTCCACCTCCCGGGCTGTGTCTGCGTCCAGCTCCAGGGTCGGGAACTCCTCGCGGAGGGCCAGATGGGGGGGCAGGAGGAGGGAGCACGAGGTGGGAGGGAACGGGGGATGGGCATGGGACCAACGTTGGTGTAATGTTGACTGCAAAATTGAAGGGTCCTGGGACACACAAAAAACAGATTCCACGATCCCCCACATTTTTACACACTGTCTGGGTCTTTCGTCTTCCCCCCACTTCCTATACTTTCCCATATCTTCCTGGGGGCCGTCGATTAATTGTGTGTGTGTGGGTGCGTGTGCTTTTTCCCCTTTCCCCTCCGGAAGACTGCCCGACTCTACCGAGAGCACCATGAGGACGAAGTGGGGCGCGACGACATGGAAGAACGCCACGACGAATGCGAAGCGCACCGTCACCACGCACGAGGTGGGATGGGGGAGGGGAGGGCGGAGGAAGACACGACCAAAGGAGGAGCAGTCAGCAGCAGGGGCAGGGGGAGCGGCAGATGGAGAAGGACATCAGCCGCCTTGGGGGCCCCTCCAGTGCTGGACGCAACCGGGGACACCTTGGAATCCGAGTCCCGAAGGCTGGCACCGAGGAGGACGAGGATGACGCGGCCCCTGAGGCTCGCCATCCCTCGGACGTCCGTTCCCCGTGCATCCGTCGGCCTCGTGCGCTCCTCTCTCCGAGAGGTTACTCCAGATTTCGTAAGAAAGGGATGGGGGGTCTCATTTCGGGGGGGGGGTCTCTTCCAGGCCATCTTGGAGGGCCTGGGGGGGTCTGGGGACGATGTGTTTGGAGGGTTCTCCCACGGGGGAGGTCTGAAATGGCTTGTCTTGGAGGGTCCAGACCCCCTCCCTTTCATTACGAAATCTGGAGTACCCCAGATGTTCCTCGGTGGTCCGTCCCCGCCGCGAGAGGATGCACACGTCCGAGCGATGCCGGGACAAGGAGCCCTCGGCCCCACTCCGAGGAATCGCCTCCCTCGCCGCGTCGGCCTCCGAGGGCCCCAGAGGCCCGGCGCTGAAGAAAGGGGGCCTCCCGAGGCCCGCCGCACGGATCGGCCGTCGGGATCTCCTCGGAGAGCGCCGTCGGCCCGGAGAGAGGGCAGGCTGGGCGCCGCGGTGACTGGGGGGCGATGAGTAGGGCTGGGTCGGGCAGGTCCTCCTGCAGGCGGATGCTGGAGGACAAGTAAGAGGCGGTCGACAACTAGCCGGACATGTAAAATAATCATAATGATGATGATGAAAAAACGCCCCCAGACAATGTTTGGACTCTTTTGGGATGTTCCGCCGGTAGAGGGGCGTGCCCGACTCAATAGGGGGCGGGGAGCAAGGTGCCCTTCTCGGGCCCGGGAGGCTCTCTTCTGGGCCCTACAGTTAAGTCGGGCGTGTCCCCCTGCAGGCGGATTTTGGATGACTAATACAAAAAACAAGCAACAGCATATGCAACAAATTCTTCCCGAAAATTAGTCCCCAGGCTATGTTTCGACTGTTTTTTTGCATATCCCTCCTGCAGAGGGACAGGCTCGGCTGAACCCTGCAGGGCCCCTCTCGGGGGCCCTCTCAGGGGGCCCCTCGCCTGCGGGCCTCCCCGCCCACCCCCCCATGATCGCCCCCCCCCCCCCCGCACTGAACAGTGGAGGCCAGCTCACGAGAGACCTTCCACAAGAAATCCTCCTCCTCCTCCTCCTCCTCCTCCTCCTCCTCCCCTTCCCCCTCCCCCTCCTCGTCCTCGTCCTCCTCCTCCTCCTCCTCCACCTCCTCCTCCTCATCCCCCTCCTCCTCCTTCTCCTCGACCCCAGGGCGTCCCTTGATTGTTTGGTGTGGGAAGGCCACGCCGTCTACAGCAGCACCATCGAAACCACGAGAGGCAAGCAGGGTGCTTCTTGGCATGGGCCTCCGCCGCATCGCAGCCCGAGCAGGAGCAGTCAGCACCCGATCGGGCAGTCGGATCGAATCGACACGTGTGTGGGATCGGGCTGCAGTGGCACGAAGTCGAAACCGAATCGGATCGGTCGCGGCGGACTGCGCAGCAACACCACGATAACATCGGGCCGCGTGGGATCGGGCTGCAGTGGCACGAAGTCGAAACCGAATCGGATCGGTCGCGGCGGAATGCGCAGCAACACCACGATAACATCGGGACGCGTGGGATCGGGCTGCAGTGGCACGAAGTCGAAACTGAATCGGATCGGTCGCGGCGGAATGCGCAGCAACACCACGATAACATCGGGCCGCGTGGGATTGGGCTGCAGTGGCACGAAGTCGAAACCGACTCGGATCGGTCGCGGCGGAATGCGCAGCAACACCACGATAACATCGGGACGCGTGGGATCGGGCTGCAGTGGCACGAAGTCGAAACCGAATCGGATCGGTCGCGGCGGAATGCGCAGCAACACCACGAGAACATCGGGCCGCATCGGACTATCGGAATCGACTCTGACCGGGCTGGCCTGACACGTGAAGGAATCTCGAGATCCGAGTCTCGAAAGCCGGTGCTCGAAAAGATGACGACGAAAAAGATAGAGGCGGCGACGACAACCACGACGCTGGAAGGCCTCTGGAGGTCTTCGCAAATCCTCGGCCCCCGGAAGTCTCCGAAACTGATACAGCCATCGCGCTACCATACAGCAGGGGCTCGACCACAAAAAGCCTTCCACAAGAAATCCAACCCTGAGAATCCAGGACGTCCCTTGATTTGTTGGTGTGGGAGGGTCACGCTGCCCATGGCAGAACGATCGAAACTCAACAAATCCAGGGCACCCTGGAGCTGAATGGGCCCTGGAAACGACAGGGCCGTTTTTTCACCGGTTCCGTTTTGCCGCTTTCTTGCCGGTTCCGACGCCGTTTTTTTACCGGTTCCGTCGCCGTTTTTTGACCGGTTCTGGCTCCGGTTCCAATCCTGGAGCCGTTTTTTTTGCCGTTTGTGGTCGCCGTTTTTTTGCCGTTTCCTTTTTGAAGGGACACTTTCTCGGAAACGGTGAAAAAACGGCCCTGCCGTTTCCGGGGCCCACTAAGCCCTGGAGGCTTCCACGGTGCTTCTTGGCCTGGGCTGCCACAAGGAGCGCCGAGCAAGGCACACAAAAGGGGCTCCCCCGGCCACGGCGAGCCTCGGCCACGAAAAGGCTCCACGGCCTCTAAAACCGAGGAGCGCTTCGACAACGGGCTTCGGCGCTGGACAAACCTCCGTTTAGTAGACCTCCCCTTCGTGAAAACGGCCTGGGACCGAAACCGATGGACCTGGACCTGCAAACATGACGGCCGCGACGCCCTCCCGCGAACTGAAAACGGCCAATTCACTCATCGACGTGTCATGGTAGGAGGTCTGTCCAGCCCCGAGGGCTGGTCCTTCTCACAGCGTATGAACTGGCACTGGCACGGACCAGAACGGCTGGATCGACACAAACGACGGACAGCCATCGGATCGCATCAGTCGGGTCGACGATAAGCCCAGACACAGGGCTGCTCCAATTCTTAAACAGTGCGTGGGCCCCGGAGGTCCGGAGACCACTTCCCAGGGGCGGGCCCTCTCGTCCTGAGCAGTCTCTTGATGCTCCCAAGGCCCAGCGAGGGGCGCGTTGGTCTTTTGTGCGGCCCGTTGGGTTCTCCTGCGGCCTGGCGCGCGGCCAAGTGGGTTCTTACTGCGGCCCGCGCTGGCCCTTCACGTAACAGTAATATGTGAAGGTTTCCTCTCTTAGCTTTGGACGTCCTGGCAACCCTTAAGGGCTTGCGTTCCCGCCCTGAAGAAGGTGGCCGCAAAAAGGAACATCTGGAGGCGCCATCATCATCATCGTCATATCATCATCATCACAATCGTAATCGTCATCGTCATCGTCATCGTCGTCGTCATCTGCATCGCCCTTCTAATCATCATATTCAGCTTCAGCATCAGCATCGACACCCGACACCACCAGCATCATCGGCAACAACATCATCATCAGCAGCACGATCGGCATTAGCACCAACATCATGCTCGTCCTCATCCTCTTGATCCTCCTCCTCCGTCAGCACAAAGTCCTCCTCCATCCTCCTCCTCCATCAGCAGGAAGTCAGGGAGGTGAGAGGGAGAAGGGAGAGGGGATAAGTATCGATATCATGATGATCATCATGATCATCATGATTATGATGATCTTCGTGATTATCATGATCAGCATGGTCGTCATCACCATCCGCAAGGACATGATCATCATGATCATCATCACCACCATCATCGTGATTATCACGATCGTCATCGTCATGATCATGACCATCATGATCAGCATCGTCATCATCACCATCATCGCCAGTATCATAATCATGACCATCAGGATCATCATCGCCATGACCATGATGATGATGATGATGATGATGAACGTCATCATCATCATCATCATCGTCATCGTCGTCACCGCCGTTGGCGTCATTATCATCATCATCAACAGCATCATCATCGCCATCACCATCATCAGCATCATCATCATCATCAGCAGGAATATCACTATCATGATCACACTCATGATCATCATGATTAGAATGATCTTCGTGATTATCATGATCAGCATGGTCGTCATCACCATCCGCAAGGACATGATCATCATGATCATCATCACCACCATCATCGTGAGTATCACGATCGTCATCGTCATGATCATGATCATCATGATCAGCATCGTCATCATCACCATCATCGCCAGTATCATAATCATGACCATCAGGATCATCATCGCCATGACCATGATGATGATGAACGTCATCATCATCATCATCATCATCATCATCATCATCATCATCATCATCATCATCATCATCATCATCGCCATCATCATCGTCATCGTCGTCACCGCCGTTGGCGTCATTATCATCATCATCATCATCAGCATCATCATCGCCATCATCATCATCAGCATCAGCATCAGCATCATCATCATCATCATCATCATCATCATCATCATCATCATCAGCATCATCATCATCATCGCCATCATCATCATCATCATCATCATCATCATCTTCTTCATCATCATCATTATCATCATCAGCATCGCCATCATCGTCATCGCCATCGTCATTGTCGTCGTCATCGGCATCGTCCTCCTAATCATCGTAGTCAGTTTCAGCATCAGCATCGGCACCACCAGCATCCTCAGCACCATCATCATCAACAGCACGATCGGCATTCGCACCAACATCATGCTCGCCGTCATCCGTTTGATCCTCCTCCTCCGTCAGCAGAAAATCCTCCTCCATCCTCCTCCTCCGTCAGCAGGACGTCAAGGAAATGAGAGGGAGAAGGGGGCAGGGAGGAATATCACTATCATGATCACACTCATGATCATCATGATTTTGATGACCCTCGTGGTTATCATGATCAGCATGGTCATGATCACCATCCGCACGGACATGCTCACCATCATCATCATAATAATCATCATTATCATCACCATCAGCACCATCATGATCATCATCGTCCTGATCATGATGAGATGACGCAGGTGATCATCATCATGATCATCGTCATCGTCGCTCGCTGAAGGGCCCGTTTGGGCTATATTGATGAAAGGCATGAGCATGCACAATGATCGTCGCCAACGGCGGGACAGCCCCCGCCCGGCCACGCGTGGACCACATCGTGGCGCCAACGGACACCATTATGCTAAGATGCCCACTGCCGTGCGCAACAATCATAATCAAAATGCCTGGGGACGGCAGGGCACCACCATCCCTCTAAGATGCAGACTGCTTGCTGTGCGAAGAATTCAGTCTGTGTCAGTGGGCTGGAGCACGCAGATTAGTAGCCGCCAACGACGGGAGAACGGAGAACCCCCGCCCGGAAACACGTGGACAACATCGTGGCGCCAACGACCACCATTCTTCTCAGATGCCCACTGCCGTGCGAAGTATTCAAGACATGTTCACCTCCTGCTCCCTCCTCGGGAGCGCAGAAACGGCGACAATGATATGAGGACAGATGCAACGCCTGATCCGCCTACTCCGTCTCCTGCATTACAAGCGGACGCTCCAAAGCTGTTCAAAGACCGATGTATAAAATTATGTCTGCTGGCCTCTTCGAGCTCTCTGAAGAAACCTCTTGGAGGCCTCTTGGGTATTTTTGGGCCTCTTGGGCCAGCCGTCTAGGGCGTCTTAAACCGTCTCGTTGGCCTTCGGCCCATCCCGCCACCTTGCCTGGGTTGTGAATTTGAGGCCTCCTTCTCGGAGGAGGAGGAGGAGGAGGAGGAGGAGGAGGGGGAGGGGGGGAGAGGAGGAGGAGGAGGGAGGAGGAGGAGGAGGAGGAGGAGGAGGAGGAGGAGGAGGAGGAGAGGGAGGAGGGAGGAGGAGGGAGGGGAGGAGGAGGAGGAGGAGGAGGAGGAGGAGGGGGCCTCCTGGAAGCTAGTTTGGACGTCGTGGCAGGCCTCTCGGGGGGTCTCTGGGAGGCAATTTTGGAGGCCTCCTGGGGGCCGTCTGGAGGCCTCTTTCTCGGCCTCTCGGGGGCCTCCGTGGGGCCGCTCGGGGGCCTCGTGGGGGGCTTCCTGGGGGGCCTCGTGGGGCTCCCCGGGGGGCCGCTCGGGGCCTCCCGGGGGCCTCCTGGGGCGGGAGGCTCGCATTGTCGATTCGCGCCCCCCTCTCTTGGGCCCTTTTTTTTTTGGGGGGGGGGCAAGATACCCAAGAAGGGCCCCTCTTGGGCCCTCCTTGGGGCCATCATGGGGCCCTCCTGGGCGATCATGGCCCCCCTGAAGGGGCCAAGAAACCCTTCAGGGGGGCCAAGAAGCTCCTCAGGGGGGCCAAGATGCCCTTCAGGGGGGCCTCCAACGTACTCGAGGATTTGTATACTCCGGAGACCCCTGGGCCGTAATTACTGATGCCCACCGGGCCGCACAGAGGCCCACCTGGCCGCTGTAAAACCTGGTCTCCAGCGAGGGCCCCCCCGGAGGCCCACAACTGTCAAAATCCCCCCGCTCCCATTTTTTTGTTGTCGGCGGTGGACAAACCTCCCTTTAGTAAACCTCCCCTTAGTGAAAACGGCCTGGGACCGAAACCGACGGACCTGGACCCGCCAAAATGACGGCCGCGACGCCCTCTCGCGAACCGAAAGCGGCCAATTCCTCGATCGACGTGTCAGGGTAGGAGGTCTGTCCACCCCCGATTTTGGAGCGTCGGATCTCCGGGACCCTCCGCGGAGGCTCCTCCGCGTCGGCGTGGCGCTTCACCTCCGCCGCGAGCGCGGCGTGCTCCGCCGGCGAGCGCCCGGGGAGCCTGGCGGCCGCCGCCATCTGCGGCGCGGCGCCCCCCCCCCTTCCCCGAGCGCGCGCGCGCGGGGGCGGCAAGGGCTAGGTCGGGCATGGCCTCCTACAGGCGGGCTTTGGAAGAAAACTGCATAAACATAGCAAAAACAAAAAAAACACAGCGATGCAGACCTGGCCAACAGCAGAGAGAACTCGTCCCCAGACTATTTTCTGCTTCGCTCTCCTTGCATTTCCCCCCCCCTGCAGAGGGACAGGCCCGACCTCACGGCAAGGGGGCCCCCGGCGCAGGGGGGGCGGGCGGGCCCTATGCGCGCGGCGGGGGGGGGGCGGGGCCGCGCGCACGCCGCCCCCCCTCGCGAGCAGGGGCCGGGGGCCGCCGGGGAGGGAGGCGCGGGCGCGGAGTTCGGCGGTGGACAGACTTTCCTGTAGTGTCTTGGGTTTTTTTGGGGGGCCTCTTCGGCCGTCTTGGAGCCGTCTTGGGGACGTCTTGGGCCGTCGTGGATCGTCTGGAAGCCGGCAAGGCGAGAACGGCAAAAACCCACCAAAAAGCAAGGACAATCCGCCGATCTGGCGTGTGAACTACAAGGAGTCTCAGCAAGAGCTTCAGACCCACCCTGTAATGAGAACGCCCTGGGACCGAATCCGACGGATCCAAACCCGCAAACACGACGGCCGCGGCGCCCCCTCGCGAACCGGACACGGCCAATTCGCTGATCGACGTGTCAGGGTAGGAGGTCTATCAACCTCCGAGAAGTACGGGGGGCCAGTCCACAAGAGGCCCCCCACAAGAAATCCAACCCTGAGACCCCATGGCGTGGGCGCGGAGCACAGTCATCGGCCTGACCTGAGGAGCGATAAATAAGGAACGACGCCCCTCTTTTTCCAAGGAGTAACGTAGAAGGAAATAGATGATACATGACGCATGAGGAACGATAGATACCGCATGCAAGCCCAAGGAACGACCGAGCCCCTTTTGAAAAGTAAGTGTTCCTTATTCAAGCCGCTCACTGTACTGGGGGGGCCAGTCCACAAGAAGCCTTCCACAAGAAACCCAACCCTGAGACCCCAAGGCATCCCTTGATTCTTGGTGTGGGAGCGTCACGATTGCCACGGCAAAGCCAATCTGGGGCGCGAAGTAATTGGGGGAACGACGAACAAGGGCATAAACGTAAAAACTCGGAGGTCCGCGCGGATCTCTCGGATCGGCGCTGGGCCCCCCCTGGCCTCCAGCGCCGCCCCTGGCGCGCCCCGCGCGCCAGGGAGGGGGGTCCAGCGCGGATCCACGAAATCCGCGCGGACCTCCGAGCTTTTATGTCCAGGTCCTTTTTCGCTTCCCTCGTATCGGGTCGGGCGAAAGGGGGGGATAGCAAAGGGGGGGTTTGAGAATCAGCTCGCGTAGCTGATCTTCCCGGCGCCTCCCGGCGCCGGAGGCGGCTATGTATCGAGGAATGGGCCACTCGGTGAGGCCGAAACCAGCTGCATGCAGCAAATTTCGAACCCCTCCCTTTCCCAAACCCTCCCCTTTCGTCCGGCCCGATCGTAATGGGGGGGCGCGACCAGCGAGCCCTCGGCCCCACTCCGCGAGGAGTGGCCTCCCTCGACGAGTCGGCGGCCGACTCGCCGAGGGAGGCCCTTCCTCGCGGGGGGCCGGGGGCCGTCAGAGGCCGGGCCGGGGGGGGCCAGGCGAGGCCCGCCGCCGGGACCCGCCGCCGGGGTCTCCGCGGAGGGCGCCGCAGGCCTGGGGAGGGGGGCAGGCTGGGCGCCGCAGTGACTGGGGGGCGCTGCGCGCGAGTGCAGAGGGGCCCCCCCGTATGTTCCTATATTTTGGGTTTTTTTGTCTTCCCCCCCACTTCCGATACTTTGAGATATATTTTCTGGGGAATCGACGATTGACTGTGTCTGTGTTTTTTTTCCTCCTGAGCGCGGGGGGGGGATGAGGGAAAGGTGCCCTCCTCGGGCCCCAGAGGCTCCCTTCCAGCAGGAGAGAGCCCAGCATGGGGACCGAGGAGCCCGCTCGGCGATCGAACGGAGCCGGCTCGGCGGACAAAATGCGGGAGCTGCCGCGTCCGTCGGAGGCTCGCGCGAGCGCCGCCGGCCGCACCAGAGTCGAAGAGGTCGACGTTTGAATCGGGTCGGGCGAAAGGGGGGAATAGCACAGGGGGGGGTTTGAGAATCAGCTCGCGTCGCTGATTCTCCCGGCGCCTCCCGGCGCCCGAGGCGATGGTGCATCGAGGAATGGGCCCCTCGGAGGGGCCGAAACCAGCTGCACGCAGCAAATTTCGGCGTCGTCGCGCTTCCTGGGAGCGCCGCGCGGGGGGGGGCCTGGGCGCATCACGGCCCGAGGCGGGTGCGCGGACGAGGGGGGGGGGGTGGCGGGGGACCTCTCGAGAGAAGAACAGAGCCACGATGTACTCCAGAATTCGTAATAAAAGGGAGGGGGTCTGGACCCTCCAAGACAAGCCATTTCAGACCCCCCCACCGTGGGAGAACCCTCCAAAACATCGTCCCCAGACCCCCCCAGGCCCTCCAACATCCTGAGTCCCGAGGCCTCCCCGATCGGTTCTGAGCAGATCGGGCCGGAGGATCGCGCAGGATCGCCGATGCATGCCGATGCTGCGGCGATGCATCGGCGCCGTCGGACTGGAGGGGATGCATTGAAAAGAGACGAGGGGGTCATGAACCCTGGGAGATTTCACTGGCACCCGCCATGGTTCCCCCCCCCTAGTGTCGTAGACAGAAAAGATATGAGCGACGATCAAAGAACGAGTCTTTTGCGAGATGACGTAGCGACCCAACGCCGCGGCTTACGCGGGCCGCTGGCGCGGCACGCCACATTGGAAACGAGGGCGCTTACGCGCGACCTTCCGCGGGCAGCTTACGCACCAATGTCGGCGCAGACAACCCCGTTTGTTTTGCGTCGCTCATATTTCCGTATCAGCGGCCTCGCGGGCCGGGCCCTGGGGCCGCGACCCCAATGATATGCGGCGTTTTGTTCGCAGATGCCCCGCGCGGAACGCATCCATGCGACCGCGTATCCATATGGGACTGCGCCGCAGAATTCAGACCGCGAGCGCGTGGATCTGGATACGCTCGCCGCTCGTGATAGTGATCACCCCCCTCGTTGACCCCCCCGAGAAGAGGAGCTGGCCCGCTGTCCCTAAGACGAGGCCAGGGCCAGGACAAAATCGGGTGACAATAAACCGAGAATCTCTGAGATCCCGCGGCTCTGGAGGATGTCTCGGGCGCCGCGGCCTTCTCAGAGCGTTCCGGAACGCTCTGGAACGGACTTATCCTCGTCCTAGCTCCGTCCGATAGAGGTTCCTTGCCATTTTAGAAGGTCCTCCACCTTCTTTGGAGGGCGGCCCCCCTGTGCGCACCGCCACCCGCCGTCGCTCGGACGTCCGTTCCCCATGCATGTTCCAGTTTCGTGCGCGCTCTTATTTGCCAGGTGCTCCTGGATGCTCCTTGTATCTGATCCAGGATGCTCCTCGAGAGAGAGAGAGATGTTATCCTCGATGCTCCTCGATGGTCCTCGCCAAGAGACGTGCACACGTGCGAGCGGTGCCGCGCAGCACGGAGCTCGCCGCCCCGCCCGAACCCCCCCGGATGAGGGGCAAGCCCGCTGTCCCCCCCCCGGGCACGGGAAGGGCACTCACGCAGCGCGCCATGCTTGCACTCCATTCAGTAGAGGTGAAAAAATCGATCCCCACAAGTTGGAGAGGGAGGTGGTCCTCCTCCTCCTCCTCCTCCTCCTCCTCCTCCTCCTCCTCCTCCTCGAGGGCAGAACATCCACCCCCATAATAACCAACGACACGTCAAGTCGTTTAGCAAGCGCGCGCAAAGAAGGAATCAAACGGGGCAGGGCTGTTTAGTAAACGCCCAAGGCCGTTTCGTAAGTGCCAATGGTCGGGTCCGGGTGGTTTCCTTTCTTGATTCAGGCCTCGCGCCGACGCGGTACAGGTTGGCGGCGCGCAGAGGGAGAGGCAGGGGGAGGGGGAGAGACTTCTTAGAAAGAGGCTGCTCCTTAGAAGGCGCGGGCCTTACATCTACACACCAGGCCCGCCGCTTCCAAGAAGCAGGGGCGCTTCTGAGGAAGCCTCCCCCCCGGCCACCTGCCCCCCGCTGCGCGTGGCCGAACAAGGCCGACGAACTGTGCGCCGCACGATTCCTGGGTCGAAGATCGCCAGCGCGGAGGAGGGAGGAAGAGGAGAGAGGAGGAGGGAGGAGGAGGAGGAGGAGGAGGAGGAGGCGGAGGAGGAGGCGGAGGCGGAGGAGACCGAGGAAGAGGAGAAGGAGGAGGAGGGAAACGCCAAAGCGGTACGGTGCACACGTACCGTGCGCGCGTGGATCGGAGCCTCCTTGGTCTTGAAGCTCGGGCACGGCGCCCTCCGGCAGAGCGCGAAGCCGGGCCGGTCCTGGCGCGCGAGAGCGCTGAGGAGCACCGCCCGCGCCGAGGCCCCAGCTAAGACGAAGCCATGAACGAACGAAGCAGCCATACGCCAAAAGCGCGTGGGCAAGAGGACAAATAGAGCGACACGCCAAACGCGTGCGATAAAAAAAATACGCCAAGCAGCCTGCCAAGGTACAGAGACACGAGTATTTTTTTACTTACAGCCTTTTGTCTTCGCTGTGAGCCAGGACGAGGACAAAATCGGGTGAGGATAAATGAAGAATCTCTCAGAACCAGCGGCTCTGGAGGATGTATCTGCGAGGCGGGGGTTCTATCCATACACCGCCTGTGGAGGTCCGCGAAGATCGATCCCACAGGCGGTGGTTATGGATTCGGGCGCCGCGGCCTTCTCAGAGCGTTCCGGAACGCTCTATCTTCGTCCTAGCCCCGCCCGACCAGTGCAGGCAAGCTCCTGGGAGGCCTCGAATTGGCACCAGCACCGACCCAGGACAATAAAGACCAGTATCGAATCGGGATCGCGTTGAGTCTTTTTGGAATCGGTGCTCAAATCGGCGATCGCCGCATCGGCGCGGAATTCGGAAACTGCAAAAGCCGCATCGGAATTGAAGCGGAACTCTTTGGTGGTGACTCACCCCTGGGCCAGGGGCTCGGGCTTCCGCTGACCCAGGCCAAT